TAATTCAACATATAACATTAAATTTTACCACGTGAATGATTTTAACCAGATGAGAGTGGGTTCGGTTTCATTATCACATCTTCGTCTTGTAAAAAAATATTCTTTTTTTCTTTATTTTTAAATTAGTAATATATAGTTTTTGTCTCATACACATCTTGTTAGCTAAACATTACATAATATTACACGCAATTAAAATTAAACAATTAAAAAATTTTACACGCAATTAAAATTAAACAATTAAATAATATTACACGCAATTAAAATTAAAATTTCATAATAATTAGATGATTATATTTTTAAATTCTCAATAAAGTACCCCACCTTTGTTCTTTATTTTTCTTTGGTCCCTTCACTTTTTTTTTTCTCTTTTTTTTCCCATCTTTCCCTTCAATTCTATTTTTTTTCCTTAGCGCGTTATAGAAAAGCAAATAGATTAACTTATAAATATATTATGTGTTTAAATAAATTAAGAATTTATGTACTGATCATAATAAGATTTCTTTTGAAGATTTAAATACTATTACGAAGTCTAATAACAAGATTAAGCATTGTCAAATGTGTGAAAATACTTAACTATAATTTGGTTAATAATAAGTAATTAGTTTATTGTTAAGTAGAGTAGAGAGTACAAGAATAAATTAATTAAATTGATTATTATAGAAACCTTAAATTAAACAATTAAATGAACGTAAAAATTTAATTAATCCTTTGTTTAAAAAAAGAGCTTAGAATAATAAGCTAAATTAATTAGTGTTTTGATAGGTAATTAGATGTTGGATTAGTAAGTTAAAAAGTTTTAATTTTTGGGTTGGGTTTTCAAAACGGCAAGACTGAGGATTTCCTGGGCCTGGATCCATTGAATCAATTTTGGGTGTTACTCCCTCCACCACCACAACTTGCTTCCTCCACCACCCCATTCCCCTTTTACCCTTTTTTTTATTTTTTCATTCCTATTTTATCCTTATTAAAATTTTAGGGTTAATATTATTTAAAATCTCACCGTGAACATTCATTCTTTTTATCATTCTTTCCTCTTTCTCTTTATTATTTTTCTCAGGTTCACTCTTACGTTCCACTATCGTTGGGTTGTCTCTCATGTTCCACTTCTTATTCTCTTTTATAGAATTGTGACGTGAGAGTGTGGTGGACTTTGTGTTTAGTAAGATTGAAAATGGGGAAAACAATTCATCTTCAGCCGTGAGTGGGGTGGTGCTTGAAGGTGCTTGAAGGTGCTGGTTCAGAGGAGGCGTGAGAGGTTAAGAGGAGTGAAGGTGCGTAATTAAATTAATAATTATTTTATTAATTAATACTATTTTTTATTAATTTAATAATTATTATTTCATTAAATAAAATAATTTTAATTTAGATATAAATAAATAAAAAATTAGAAAAAAACACTAAATTTAAATACTCTATAAATTAATTTAAAATATAATAAATTAATAAAGTAAAAAAAATAAAAATATAATAATCACGTAACAAATTAATTGAAAAAAAAAAGTTAAAATAAAAACTAATAATACAGTCAAAAAACGGAGGTCGGGCATCCGTTTGGATCTGAAACGGATGTCGACACCCGACCTCCGTTTTTCCTGGTTATCTTCTTCTTTTCTCTGGACACACGCACACGGCAGAAAAAAAACACAGCAGCAGCACAGACAGACACACGCACACGGCAAAAAAAAAACAGAGGAGCAATGAACAAAAATATATGCATTATGTTTAAAAAAAATTTTAAAATATCATCACTAACCTAGGAGAAAGCACCACCACACTTCACCGTCGCACCACCGCCGCACCGCCGCGTCGGAAAGCTGCACCGTCGCGTTGCACCGTCGCACCGTCGCACACCGTCCACTGCTGAAGGAGGAAGAAAACTTGTATGGAAGTAAAATGGAAGATGAGAATGATGGTGTTTGAGTGAGATTCTGAGAAAGTTGGGAGGTGGGTGAGAAATGATAAAAATATAGATTTTAGGATTAAAGTAAATAATTAAAATTAAAAAGTATAAAGGTTATTTTTGTAATTATAAAGATTAGTTTTGTAATTCAGAAAATATATAATAGAATTGGGAAGGTGGAGGAAAAAAATGTAGTGGTGGAAGAAGTAACACCCATCAATTTTTCTTTCTTAATAGAATTGTGGCTATTGCTTCCTGCATCTCAAAATTATTAACTACTTTCACAATATTAAAAAAAGACTTAAATATCTCTTATCACACCACGTTATCTCTGCAACTGTTTGCATATCATCACTGGCGTACCGTTGCTGCAGAAGAAGAGAGAGAAGACGTTGCAAAAGGAAGAAAAGAGAAAATATAGAAGAAAACTTGTTTCAAAGTATTTTATTTAACATATTTCATGTATTTTGGAAAGCATTTTCCAAAACAAATTTAACTTACGGATATTTAAAAAAATTTGAGGTGTGTGGAAAGAAATTGTGGAAAGCAGGAAGTAAGGATAGAATTATACATTGCTGTATCAGTGCTCTATAGGGCCCAAATTTTCATATATTGCAATACCATGGATTTCTTTATAAAAAAACATGTTTTCAATTTTTTAATTTTGATGAAATTGAAATTCGGTTTGAAAATTTTTAATTTAAAAAAAATTAATTTAACAAGTTAAAAAATTTAACGTTTTAAGTTTGAAAATTAAAATATGTTAAAATTTTATATTTTATGAATAAATTTTAAATTTGTGTCAAAGTTTATAAGCTACTAAAAGTATATTTTAAAAACAATAATACGTGTTAATTCTTAAACTAAACCAAAGTATATATTTAAATAACATATGATCCTTTTAGAAAATATTTCTATTTTGAAATTTATAATTTGTAAAAAAATATTTATTTATTTCTCTTAAAATTATTTGTACACCCAAATAAACATTTGATCACATTTCTTAATTTGAATTGAGAAAATTGAGAGTCACGTTTTTGAATTGGGTGTGATAAAATATTTATTTGGATGAAAAAAAGTAAACATGTAATAATAATATATTATTATTATTATTATGGTCTTATTTTGTAGCCTTGGAGAGAGAAACTTACGCAGAACATCATCTTCTATTTCCTTTTGGTTCCGACACACTTGTCACGAAACACGGTTTAGAAATTAGCAAATTTTTTATAGAAAATTTATGAACAAGGAAAGAGAACAACGTGCAACAAACTTGTAAAAACAGAACTCTGGAGTATATTCTACCATTATTAAGTGATGTAATTGGTTTTATAATTGAAGAATAAATAAATGTATTACAAAATTTCTTACAGCAATCACATCAGCCTCAGAAGACAAAATTAAACAATAATTTACAATCATTTTATAACTAAAATAATGATTTGCTATAAGACGAATCACCAAAGTCAAAATTACCAACCAAAATTGGACTTTGTCTAAATATAAGTTCAGCTCAGGCTGCTGATTGCGCCGTGTTTGGACGGAACTTCACTCTTAAACGGTTTGGACGTTTAACTTACGCTGCCTTTAGATTCTTCTATAGTCATGTGCTATAATTTATAATAATTTTAAATCATAAAAATTCTAAAACAATAATTACCAAAATTACTTCTAATCCGTATAACAAAAATAAAATTTATAAAAACTATTATATATACATTTTTGTTTTGTTTTATATTTATCAATCAACTTTTAAGGTATTACATTATTTTTGTAGATTAATGTCTGCAAAAGAAAAATCTAGAAGGAATCCTTTTAACGTGGTATTTTCTTCTGTCGATGTGATTTTTATTTTCATTTAAAAAAGTTTAAATGAAAGGATTAACTGTGTTTTTAACCAGAGAAAAAAAATGCATTGATGTAATTTAACGGTTAAATGTATATTTGATAATTTTGGATAATGGATTATAATGTTTAAAATTGATTTTGTAGTTATTTGAAAGGTCGAGGAATACATATTTGTTAGGATAAAAGGATTTATCTCCCAGAATGAACCCACTCTGATAGTCAAAATTGAACCGACGCCAAAACCAGCGTTGATTCCGCGGTCTGACCCAGTCTTTCTTGCCTACCCTAGTTCCCAGTTCACACGTTACTGTTTTCATTTTCAAACCTCAACTTTAACTAATTAACTAATATATTATAAAGTTCACTTTTATAGGATTTAAATGCTATTCTTTTCCCTTTCTTTTAAACAATCATCAGTGTAACAATTTTATTTGTCTGGTCACCTCAAGACAACTATGATAGATAAAAATTAAGTATCAATATACCATGTTTAAATAAATTGTTTATATCAAGTGAATTCATCCATTATGTAACGAATTTCAGTATTGATTGGATGTATATAAGTAATAATTAATTTTTATATATATAATACACATTTTAAATAATATAGTTCAAACTTTAAATAGAAAGTGGACGAAAATATTATAATTTAAAATAGAAATGAATATAAAGAGATACCGAGTGTAGATGTTCCTCGGACAAAAAAAATTAGGTATTACATATAAAATCTAAATGCAAATATTAAATTGACATAATACTAACAAAAATAAGTTTATTCCCAATTACACCAAAAAAAATTCTAGAATAGTAGGGCACGTTATATAACGTCTTAAAAGACATTGACTATTCGTTCCTATAACATTTTGTTACTGAAATTGCATCCTTTTTTATCTTAATTATTAATCTATACACATCTTAATCCACTGTGATAACTTGACTTCAGTGCCAATGAATGTAAAGATGACCAACATATCCAATGGAATCTAAGACTTCTCATCTCACTACCACTACTAATTAACACATCAATAACTCTCTCTATTGAATTTTTGCACTTCTCAAACAGGGAAATGGTCATTATCACTTTTATTCTTAATTAATTCACCTTAATGACATATTTTCACATTAATCTGGTTCCCTAATAGTTTTTTTTTCATGGCCGAAAAAACCATTCGATGTCAATTCCATATTCTACTGATGACTCATCACGAAACTCCTATCAAATAAAATAACATTTTGTGTCCTTCTCTGTCTTCGTATTTCTTATAGGCTTCCCATTCTTCAAAGTCTCATCATTACTATTACACCCTCACGACAAGTTCCAATCTTTTTTCAACTCTTTTCTCCATCGCTCTGAAATCCCTCTTCTCTCGATCCGCTGAGAGGATCCTCTTTGGCTTTGTCAATCTTCCCAAAAGGGTACGTTCTCTGTTCTCTCTGGGTTTCATTTGGGGTGTTATTCCTATGATCGATAACGATCACGGTTCGGTTTGACTTTGAGCTTGATTTTCTGATTGGTGTTTCTGTTTTTAGTTCTCAAATTCCAGGTTGTCCTCGCAAGAGTTTCTGAACTTGAGTTTGTCTTTATTTATAGGGAAATGGATAACTCAAAAAACAGGCATAATGACGGTTTGGGAGTGAACAAAACGGGAAAAAACATTAGAAAGAGTCCTTTACATCAGCCCAATTATGGCAACAACAACAACGTTAACGGGGCTAGACAGCAACAACAACAACCTCAGCCTCACGTTTACAACATAAGCAAGAACGAGTTCAGAGATATTGTTCAGCAACTTACAGGGTCTCCCTCTCAGGATCCTCCATCAAAACCTCCTCAGAGCAATTCCCCAAAACCTCAAAGCATGAGGTTGCAGAAGATTAGGCCTCCTCCTTTACCTTATGTGAGGCCTCCATTGCCTGCTTCGTACAGTAACAACAACTTGGCACCGAGACCTGCTCAGTTTAGACAACCATCACCTAACCCTTTTCCACAACCTAATGCAGCCGAATCTCCAATCTCTGCATACGTCAGATACCTTGAACATTCTTTAACAGATCCAGGTTCAAAGGGAACCCAAGTTCAACCTCTTCGACCTTCTGCTTTGCTTTCTAATAATCCTATGTTCCCTTCTCCAAGATTATTAAATGCTACTGTTGTTGTGCCTGTCAATGGTTTGAACCCTCTTCCTCCTCCTCCTCATCACGGTGTTCCTTCCCCACAAACAAATGGACCTCCTATTTTACCTTCTCCAACATCACAGTTTCCCTTGCCTTCACCAAATGGCTACATGAATTTCCTGTCTCCTCAATCTGCTTATCCTCCATTACTGTCCCCTGGCATTCAGTTTCCATCTCCTTTTACTCCCAATTTTCCTTTCTCGCCCTTTGGGCAGTCAGGGATTTTTGGCCCCGGGCAGCAGCCTCCCCTTTCTCCTGGGATATTTCCTTTGTCTCCTTCAGGGTTTTTCCCCATCACAAGTCCAAGGTGGTGAGATCAATAGATAGCCTTCTCATTTCTAGCCTCTTGTTTCATTGGAGATGCCGCTCTCTTCTAACTGAACTGATCTTTATTCTGAAAAAAAAAAAAAAAAACTTTTTTCAACGGCATGGGCAAGTTGTAAGATTGTAAGGTGTAGTTTTTGGCTGCTCATTGTTCTTCATTTTCCTTTCACTTGTTTCTTTTTCTTCTTTTGCTGATGACCATAAGGGCTGCAATCCTTTTTCTTTTACAAGTTTTAAACATTAGACATTGTATTGAAGATCAGGAACACAATTGGATTGTTGGACAGGAGCCGTATGATGGAAGAATGGGGTGTAACATGAAAGGAAGTAGGTTTACAGACAATATTTGTTGTGTAGGTTAGGTCATGTTCTTTTGTAATATAATGGATTGCATGTTAAAATTTCATAGTATCTTTTCTGTGGAACATATTTTTAAGTACTGATCGTATACTTGTTTCCAAGTGCTTCTTCGGCATTATTTTTCATTTCTTATGTCAAGTAATTTTGTTAATGGTTGTTCTGGAAGATTTCGTTCCGTCATCTTGAGCAAAATGATTATTCTTACCTTACACATGCGTTCTTTATTGTGTGGAAAGCAAGGCAATTTGCAAGTGTTTTTGTAAGCTGAAAGATGGTATGTAATAAATCGAAAACAAAAGTTTGGCATTGAAATAGTTTGACATTTTGATTCTGAGAAAAGATGCAGTTTTTGTATTTGCACCTTGCTTTATTCTGCATTTTATGACCAAAAAGTTTAATTTGAGGGGAGCATAAAAAGGAAATGATGCTTGGTCAATGAGAATTGAAGTGCAGAATGACGTGATGGATGAAGTTGCATGGAAAAAGATTAGACGAATTCTGTGATTCTGTGAAGATTTTACAATCTCTTCATGCTTGTTTCACAAATAGGTTATAAATTAAACAAAACAGAGTTTAAAACATTATTAGATTACATTCACTTAATTAAGGTGAGTTTAATTCCCAAATGTCTCTCGTCTCTAGAAGCGAATAAAGTTTAAACTTTGATGAAGATGAGGACACATTTCTGTGTAGCCAGCCTTTAGAATTGTCAAACAGAAGCGTGGGGAATTTGCTTCCAGTTTGAACATAATAAAAATAAAATTAGTATGAAATAAAAATAAGAGAGGTAAACAATTAAATTAAATTAGAATAGACCAATTATCCACTTAGATTAAATGATCGACTATCATTCTTTAATTGATTCTAAACTGACTAATTAAGCATTGATCAATCTAGGAAAATTTCTTACAAAGTATAATTTGGCGAGTTTTGATTGAATTAAGTTTAATTAAAGATGTTTCCTAAATCTAGTTCAATTATAAGATTTGAATTTTACCGATTAAAGCACGAAGTCAAATGGATCGATACTTCATCTTTAATTAATCACGGAACTATAGAGAATAAATTATCGTAGAGATTCAAGCTGCCGTAGCATAATGCATGATCAATCATGCAAGACGAAGATTGCACGAATTTAGAGAAAAACTACAAAATTTGAAAAAGGTAAAGAGAAGAAGACAAATGATATGAGAGAATGTAATATGAAAAACTGTAGAAAAAAAGCTCAAATGTTCCTAACATTAATATAGTGATACATATTGGGCCTTATTTATGGGCCTTGAGTAAATTAAGAAGTTCAATTATAAATGCTCTAACATTAATCTTGTCTAAGAAATTCAATCAATAATCCTTAAATTTTAAGAAAATCATAAAAATAGTGGAGAAATTCAAGTGTAGGAAAGCATAAGTCCATTTTAAATTCTCATATGTCAACAATATGATAGAATAAAAAATCAACAAAAAATAATCATGTGGCTCGAGTTATAGCAAAATAGTAGACAAAAGATTAAAACAGCTAAAAATGCTAAATTAAAATATTTACTAAGAGTAAGAAAATGATGGCTGGATTGCTATGGTTAAGGGATGTGGAACTAACCAAGATGTGTGAGGGAAAAAATTCTATATAGCCCATGAATGGGAATGGGTAAGAAAATATGGGATGTATCAACTTTTAATACTAATAATTTTTAACCCAAAAAAACAAGATCTCTCTTTGTAGGTTATCTTAAAATGATCAAAGTAGATATTCAACCAGTTGGATCACAAAAATTAAACAAGATCACATGAACACAGGAATGAGTTAAAACTTATATTTGCACCAATAATAAATTCAATAAAGGAAAACCATAGAAATGATAGAATAAATTATACTGTTATGTTAATTTTGATTAAAATCACAAAAGAAAAAGGAGCTAAGAATGAAAGAACTCATATGGACAAATCACCAGTGGTTATGAAAGTGTTTTTCTTGTCTCTCTTAACCTTGGCCATCATATGGAATAACAATTCAACAACGTAATTGAATCCTATAAATGGATAGAAAGAATACTTTAATAAATGCATGAATCACAATATTTCAATTGAAATTATGGATTACATGGAAGAGACTTAAAGTGGGTCAATTCAGTTCATGTGAATTAGTTTATTACAAGTTAAATTAAAAATAAGTTACGTCAATTTAAATTACTTTTTAATAAATAATAAATTTTGTAATATAATTTAACTCACTGTGGATTGGTGAATTAGGTGAATTCACTCCCTTAGGATTTGTTTTTCCAATTTATTTTACGTATTTATTGTAGTTCAATCAAAGTGTATAACTCAACTTATTTTTATTATAATAGTACAATCAAAATGTTTACATATTTCATCAAAGTTATAAGTTTACAATGTCAACCTATGTAATTTGACAAATAGATAAATTAAATATCAAAATTATTTAATTATTATTGAACAAGATTTTAGTCTTTAAAAATATAAATTGTCAATCTACATAATTAGAAATATTAAATATTTATAATAAAAAACTTATAAAAAAATGGTAAACTCACATTTGATCCAAGTTCAGTTTAATTTGACATCTCTAATTGAATTTCTTAAATGGATATCAAGTCTATTTTTTTATGATTAATGATTCTTCACATAGATAAGAACAACTATCACATGAATGATGTTAGAGAATAAAAAATACATAATACTTCATGAATCAAATAAGAACAAAAGGAGAATCATCTAATAAAGAGGTTCATACTTCTCTTAAAACTTTTAACAATTTAAACTAAAATATCGATTTAACATGTATTGATTTCACACATACATGCACACACACCCGTATACAGACACTCATACATTCATGAATACACATACAAAATTTAAAAATAATATTTGAAGTACCTATAAATTGTAGTCTTTGTAATATGATTATTTAGTGTCAAATCATATTGGAAACAAATGGAAAAGGAAAAAGAAAATCTTTAACACATGAACTATTATTTTGAGCCAATTTTGGGTAGAAATTAAAATTTCAACTATTGTGAGACTTAAAAACTATGAAAGAGATAAAGTACATCCCTCTTTTACTAAAGACAAACTTAGATGACTAATGGACATATGAATGTCCAATATATCTCTAACCATGAAAGGAAGATCATAATATTTGCTCTCATCATCCACCATGTCAAAAGGTCAAATTTAAAATTACCATCTTTAACATCATCTTTCGAGTATCTATCATACCCATTCCTTTGTTCATTTCCTTTTCTTTCTTCATTTTCATTCTAAATTGACTTTCCCAATCCAAATCATCATTATTGTTTTTATTACTTGATAAGATTGGAGACAATGTTCGAAGTTGTAATACTATTTTCAACAGCAATAAGATGTTTCATTGCGTATTTAATAAACACCGTATCTATTTATTTTGAACCAATAACATAATTAACCAAAATCATTTCGTATAATTAAGAAATACTTTGAATTAATAGCATAATTAATTATCTTAGTTTATTTTTAAATATTTAATACTAAAAACAAATATTAATTATTGCATGAATAAAATTTCAATGCAATAGTACTTTACCTAATATTTAATTATTCACTGAACTACTAACTTTACTTAATATTTAATTATTTAAGATATATGCTTTGCTTTAAAAGATAAACAATTTGAAAGAATGGGAGGATATTTCAGTAGAATTATTCGGATGCCAAAGGACAAGGTTTTCTGTTACATATTGTTTTTGTGGGTATCCTTGGACTGATGACAGAGCAGTATAATTTTGACACGTATATTACCGGAGCTGGATGCTCTCATTTCTATTATTGACTGTACTCGTGTGGAAATAATACGAAACACAAAATTACGTATCAAAACCAAAAAAAAAAAATCCCTGTTTAAATTAAAATTAAAATCTCAGGAATGTTAAAATTGAAACAGAAAAGAATTTCATAACATGTGATTACCTCAGTCACTTTTAGGTTTATTATATCCATAGAAGTTTTGGTAGTTTTGGTAATCATATTATTGAAAAAATTAATTAAATAACAAAGTTAATTTTATTTGTATTGAAGTTTATTTTCTACTTTTCCTACAACGATGTCTGGTACACTTATAACAATGATTTCTAGAAACTAAATCTAGGGATACACAAGTTGAAAAGTCTAAAGTAACATCTTGAATAAACCTTATCTTAAACTAACTCCTTGTCATCATTTAGTATTTGAAACTGGATTGCAATAATTTGAATAATCTGTGGAATGATTTTTCCAATTGTTGTATAGATTTTGATAATAGTATGAAATGAGAGGGGTTGCAGAGATGTGTATATTGTAATTATGTTGTAATTATATATTATGATTGGCTTTTGTAAAATTAAATTTGAGAAATGTATATTTATGTAGTTAACATAATTTATTCAATAAAAGTTTTGGTGTACTAAGTTAGAAAAATACAATAAAATGATAATATGATTATGTGGGAAATTATTTGAAAAGAAGCTTAATGTAAAGTTAAAAATTAGAAATATGATTTTATGTGGTTGTAATTTTTCTTTTTTAAATAACTTAGTAGTAGTTGTTTAGTAAAATAATAATGAAGAATATGATGATTCAAAAGAATTGTCAGTTATTTGAGAAATATAATTATTCATTAATATAATTAATTGTAATTTTTATACAAATACACTAAATCCTAAAAATATCTCTTTATATTTAAATATTTAAATACAATATAAATAATCAAATTTATTTCAAAAATCTAATTTACAAAAATCACCTTATGAAAAAATTATGAAAAATATAAACTTATAGCTAAGATACCAAATATAATATTCTCGATAAACTAAAGCTAAAACGGTCAATTTATTTAAAAATTGAAAAATCTAAAATTACATATTTCTACCAAAAGTATAAACATTTCCTCCATCGCTCTTAGCACTCAAGGCACAATTATAAATATTTTTTGATCGGAAACGTGGTACTTTCTAAATTACGTGGCAACTTATAAACATTTCACCTATGACATTTGTTAGATTTTGATATACGATACTTTTTAAAAATCATTAACATTAATTAAATCTATTTAAAAATATTAGAATTTAAT